AACGCTGCTCCATGGAAAGGAACCTGGGGGTGCTGACTGATGGCCACTGAACATGAGCCAGCTTGTGCCCAGGTGGCCAAGAAGGCCAACTGCATCCTGGCCTGTATCAGCAGTAGTGTGGCCAGCAGGGCCAGGGCAGCGATCATCCCCCTGTACTCTGCGCTGGTGAGGCTGCACCTCAAATCCCATGTTCAGTTCTGGTTTGCCATGACTAACATTTTCCAGTTTTCTTGATGAACTCTTGAGCTGTTTCTGAGGTGCACAACTTTATGTGTAGCCACCGTAGGACCCTTGCTATGATTCTGTCTTGCCATACCTTGCAGAGATAAGCCTGTTACAAAATACTGCTCTTTTGTAATAACACCTGCTTGGCAAGACAAAGTGCTGGCTGCGATAATAAACAACAAACATTACTTGTTGCAAGCAATTTATTAGGTAGTAATAAATAAATTATTAGCAGAAAGAACTATACAGCAATAAGGAATATTAATAGTATTGTTAAATATGCAGCTGACACATTTTAACATATTTCCTCTAGTTTTCTAACTGAGACAAGGAAGTACAAAATGAAATATAATCCTTTGTAAATAAAAGCTTGGTGGCTTTGTAACAATAGCAATGGAAAGTATCTTAGGTGAATATTTCATAATAATCAGCCAAAACCAGACTAGTGGTTGCTGATATATGACAAAACTTTCCAAACCTAAAGAGCCCAACCAAAAGAACATAATAAGGATCCTTGTATAAGATAAATCGTTGTAGCTGACACAGTTTTAGTACCTTATGACCTTCGTACAAAATTTATTGTAATCAAAACAGGACTGTAGATCTGAAACTAGCAGATGTTCAGGAGCTGCTGTAGCTAAGTTAACTGATAGGTAGAAGGACAGGGAGAAATCACTCACTTGTGTCAGCAGCTACAGAACGAATTAAGCTGGTGTAAGCATTTACCTAATGTGTGTTCTTCAAAGACTACCTGAACAAGAGTTCAAGGAACGGCCAAGTGATGGAGACTGTTGGAAGAAGTAAAGCAACCACCAAAAACCACTACACCACGTTGTTATGCGCATGCAAAAATGAGCGTGGAATTATGTAAAACGATTCTCGGACAACTAATGAATATGTATGACATTTATCAGAAATGTAATGAGTACGTATGTTAAGCAACAATATAATCACAGTCTGTTTGGTGCTTAAACGAGACACACATTAGGAGGAGATAATCCGCTGTGTCTCCCAGCGCTGCAATAAAGAATACCTGCTTGTCAACTTAAGCTTCGTTGGCGAGTTCTTAACCTGTTCTACAAATCATAACAAAGTGCTATGTAGAGAAGGGTATTTCTGATGCCAGCACCAAGTGATAGCAAGGATGGCTGCACTACAAAGGACCTAACTGTCCTATTATTTACCTTAACTATAACACTCCATGAAGAGTTACTGTTATTTACACCAGTGAAGTTTAAGTAAAAAGGTATACCTTGCTAAGAAGATTACAAAATGTCTCTTCCTCACTTTTCTTAACTGCTTACTACTTTAATTTCCTAAACTGCACTTGCTAGTTGTAAGGTATGAGTAAAGTTACTACACAAGAGCACAACTTCTAACATTCATTTGAACTTTTATTTGAAAACTTAGAGGCAAGTGCTAATTTTCATTGTTTTACAAAAACCTTTTTTACAAAACATTGCACACCGGTTTAGCATGCTGTTTACATGGAAGAAACAGTCACGTGCACTTAAAACCCTGAAATACAACCAGAAATTTCAAAGAGTTGTGTTACGGATACTATTTTCATGTACAAGGATATGTTTCAGATTGCATAGGGACCCAACTCTTTGAGACCCAATCCTGACTCTGCAAAGAGCAGGCAGAATCCTTACCAACTGTGTCTGACACTTCCTTGCAATATAAATCTTCATTCCTGCATCCTGCATTGCTTGTAGCCTCAAGAAACTGAAGTAATCAGTAGGAAAATTAGTTTAACAGAAATAACTTAGTACCTCCTGAGTTTTTGTTACTGTGTATGTGCTGCAATCCAGGGTAAGATTTATTAAACCTTCTGAAGTCCTGTGAGTAAGATTCATTTGTAAATCTGTACCTCCCCCTCCTCCATATACACATTTTATATTGCACAGAAAAAGTAAAAATCCATTATTGAAAAAAAAACAAACAAAACAAACCCAAGCATGCTAAACATTTAATATGGCTTCTGAGTGATTTAAAGTTATTTCCCTTTTGACATCCTCATGCAGTATTTTAGAATAAATATGAATATAAAGTGTGAGAAAGTTAAGACTAAAAATAACGCCAGCTATGATGTTTTTCAGAAGTAAAATGAAAACCAAGAGCTTATCAAAAGTAGTTGCTCAAAGGTCTAACTGGTCTTTTAAGCACACTTACCAACAGTGTCTTAAAAAGTGACAAAATACTGTAACATATACAACCTCCTTGGTATTCCACAGAACTTGAAAGGTAAATAAGTTAACTGAGACTTGCTTAATGGCCCTGGTTGTCCCATAGTCCTATGGGAACAAAAGCCTTACTTGATTCATGCTTGTCCAACTCAGTCAACCATTTACATTTCGTTAGTTTTATTGGTTAAGCTAAAGTCCTACAATAGCTTATATATGAACCACAAAAATATTTATAAAAATAATAGATACATTGTATAGTTTGCTTAAAAAAATAAACCATGCAGCTTCTGTACAAAGTTAAAAACTGTACAAACTGACTTCTGTATTGTGTAAAATTCAGGTACATGGAAGCCTTTTGTTATGATGAGATACAAGTTGTTTTTTGCTTAGCCATCAGATGCTGTTTCGGAACTATTGTTCATTTCCATCATTCATTTCTTTCACTTGGCATTAACTGGCCATTTAATTTCATCAAAAGTTTCACAACGAGACCTGCCTGCATAAAGGTATAAAATTAAATTCTATCAGCATTTCGGAACTATGACAGGATCAAGTATATGACAAATGCAAGTAGATAAAAATAGTAAGTTAGAAGTTGCATCGTTTCGGAAATAAGGAAAATAAACCCTAGCTTTTTCTCAACTATCAGAAAGTGGTTTTCAACATATTCAATCACTTCCCCTATAACCATCTTAATATATAGGAATCAAAAGCAACTACTGTGAAAGTATGCAAGATACTCAAAGGAGTAATTTTGTCACAACACATGTTAATGTGGCATATTACTACTCATGCAGACTATGGTAAAACAAGCATTTTCCTTCAGACATCCACAAACACTATCAAAAGTGGTCAGTCTCAAGAGGAAAGGCATGCATCTAGTTTAGGAGAAAATAATTGAACATAAAGGATGAAAAATGACAATGCTTACCTGCTTGGTATGCACAATAAAGCTCATTTTGTTTTCCAGACTGTGGATTTGAAAACATGTATCTCCATCTCCCAACTGCCACATAAAGCAACCATACTTGAGGCTGAGGAGTAAAGCCTACAATGAAATGTAAAAAACTGTCATTCAAAATATTCACCATGCTTGCAAATGGAACTTTGCTTAGTTAACTTAGACAGGATTCTGACTTACATATTCCACAATACAGTTGTAGCTTATAAAGTGTAAAAATACAGGGCTTTCTATTAGTAGTGCCTTACAAAAATCTTAAGATCTTGGATGTGAAATGACTATTAGCACAAAGAATTTAAGAGAACAGAATTAAGCTTAACAGTTATTACTGGCAGTTCATTTAAGCTGACCTTTGTTTCCATGTTGAGGAGGTGCAGCCCTTTTACATTTACTCCTACATACACTTTAATGACTTTATGGCTACTTGAGCTTGCTTTGGTGAATATCTGTCCCGTGAAAAAAGCTGCTCCGTAAGTAGGAATTTCCCAGCAATTCTGCAAGAACATGCGCTGAAGGTGGTGCATCTCTTTACTTACACCTTCGCTGGTGCTGAGATTCTAGAAAGAAAAGAACAGCAGCAATCAACAAGTCTTCAAACAGCTGTGGTTATTTGAAGAACATCCAGTATTTAGTGGAATTCCCACCAAACGAGTATTCCCAAAACGCTTCCCCAACAACCATCTTCTTACACCTACATTAAACACCCACAGAAAGGTTGAAATGCCAAGACACTGAGGCAGAAATCAGACACCTGTAGGAGCCTCAGAAACCTGAACCACAGACACCTAACCTCTGCAGGGACCCACAATTTTGCCTCTCCCAGCAGCATGCCAGACTCACCAGGGGTAAGCTGCTGTGCTCCCATCCGATACCAAATGCATCACAATCTTTAAAACTAAGCACACTTCCTCCATGAGGCTTAAGCAAGATAAGCAAGTACCCTCCCTAAAAAACACGCATTTTTATTTTTCTATTTTCTAAGCAAAACAGAGGTACAGATTTCTTCAGTGGAGCCTTGATTCAGAATCAGACAGGCTTCTGTTTCTTCCTCTTCAGTAGAGTGAAACAGTCACAACAAAGGATTGCTCGAGTACTTCCAGCTCAAAATAGACTGATGTAAGGTACCCTAACAAATAAAAAGCTTGGCTGTGCCACTGATGAGATGAGAAGACACAGGCACAAGAGAGAACAGAAGTCTTCAACAGTTAGGGGGCCATGCCTGTGGGTGTGGTGAATGGGACCAACCTCTTTAGATCCATACCCTGCATTATGGTTTCTCTGAATTCTACACAGCCATTTTTAACATGTAAAATATATTAATATTTGGAACAAAATACTGGAGCTCCTTTCCCCTTCCCCCATGCCCCACACACCAAAATAATGGCCTAAAGAGCAGAGGTCAAGAAAGCAATTATCATTCTTACATATTATCTGATACAAGACAGAGTAAAGACTGCTTTGCTCTGTCCTCTGCTACACCATAGTCTTAGAAAGACCACTATCATCCACTCCTTCATCTGTGTTAGAAAGAAAAGGAATGAAAAAGGTGCAGACACCAAGAGAAAGTTTATGATTCAGTAACCTCATCTCAAAAGAGGGGCAAGGCCTGAAAACATTCCTTGGGTGCCTCTGCAGTGTTCCCTGGCAGCTACCTTTAGTGATGCATGTCAGCCGGTACAGTTCTTGCTCTGACACACTTCACTTTCCCCACTATGTTTTATGAAGTTCATGAATTTAATCTCCAGGTGCCCCTGGCCCCATGTGGAACCCACAGCCCTCACTCAACTGCTCAGTCAAAGGAGTTTGTGTGAGCATGTGTGCAACAGCAGCATTAGCAGATCCCTACCATACCAGTTACCCTGGCAAAAGGACTTTGTGGATCTATTGCTACAAGTCAGAATAGATATTTTTACATGTATGCCTGAACTGGCCCCAAACACTGAAGATAAACAAACAGATGATCATCATATTTACTTCTAAAAAACAGATCAACTCTAAGTGTGCAAGAAAACCAGCATTCCAACAACCCATCCAAACATTAAGAACATACACATTTCCAGCTTTATATACCAGTATTTTTGTTCATTACCTGACAACCAGTCAAAAAAGTCTTTAAGACTGGATTTTCTACTATTTGATTGTTTCTCTTACCTTGTATTCATGAAGTATCCTGTTTGTCCAGTGAGGAGCTTTACTTTTTAGTTTAGTGATTGGTACTATAGATTTTAGATTTTCTTCACTAAGAGAAAAACAAAGCAGAAAAAAAAAGTTTTCTTCACTAAACAAGTAAGGAGAAAGAACAGTGTCTGCCAATTTGTATCTTCAAGTCTATTGAACTAGACAGTCAGCTCCTACTCTATCTTGTTTCATTAGGTGAGAAGCTAAGGCTTCCTGAGATACAGTGTAATTCTCAGTTAATGGAGGTCTAGCTTTGTGTTATACACTTTGTGTCATGCATCACAGACACAGCAGGGAGAGGAAATGCTGGAAGCAGAACATGCAGCTCTGGTCTTGATTACAGACCAGTCTGGTGAATTCCAGTTTGGAAGCCAAAATTATAGACAAGCAGCCATTCACACCAGAACATCACATACTCAGAAAAGATGACACCTTATACTCTTGCCTTCACAGCTGGATCAGCACCAATGGCTTGGCCCAATTAATTTCCACATGAAAGTTGTATATTACACAACATGGAAGTGAAGCTATTTATACAAAGTGCCTTTTTAAAAACAAAAACACAGAAAAAACCATACCACTAAAAGGAAGACTTTACTAGTTTGCTTTTATGCACAATTGAAATAGTCTCTGAAAACTAGTGAGGCAACCTACTTAGTCATTTTTAAACTATATTTGGCAGTAACTGCACATTATACCAAGCAAAAAACCTGCCAAAGGACAACACATCCAGATCTTTAAGGTGAAGGATACTCTTATACAAACATCAGCCTGGATATGTATTTTCAAAATGGCAAGTCTTTTAATAAACATTTATGTCGATTACAAAAAATAAAAATCAGAATATCTTTATCTAAAGAAGAACAAGTAGAGGTATCTTCCAGCATCTTAATTTGAATATGAATGGAAAGCATGCCCAAATGCCCATAAAGCTTATTATCTGGCCCAAACTGTCTTTCCAAATAGTCCTGTCTATAGAGTCACAGACTTCCATTGAGCAGGATTAACGCAGAGCCATATTGCTGATTTGCCTCCCTGCAGCTGCTGGGATTCAGCACAGGGTAGTTTCATATTAAACCTGTTTATATTTAACTGCACACTCCTTCAGGTGGGCAGTCCCACTTAAGCCCCATTCTCCTTATGCTCAATCTACTAACTGTGTAACTGGAGGACTCAGCAGCTGAACCTACTGAACACCCCACCTGAAAGTTTTCCAGTCAGTGAGCTCATTCACCTGGCATACTCTGTAATGGTACAGTCTCTACACCTAACAGAAGGAAGAGAAAGGAATGAACAAGTGCAGTCAGTACAGCCAGCCCCTTCAGAGGCAGCCTTGAAAGTCTTTACACTTACATCAGAGTAACTGTAGCAGAAAATGCACCCTGATTTACTGATGGTGGAGAACACACCCAAAACTCAGCAAGCCAAGACAGCTTAGCTGATGCTTTGAATGAGAGGGGATGAGAAGTGTAGTAGCATTCCAGAATACCACAGCTGCTGTTAAATGAATGAACTGAGGTGAAGGTGGTAGGGAGTGAAGATGCACACATTAGAGAATTGGAATCCTGATGTGCTCAGATAGTGATGTAGAAATGTACGTGGGAGGACAAAGCCATATCCCAGAACAGCTCAGCTTCTGTTGTGCTGGCAAGCAGAGAGAAAGAGAGAGAAAACCACCATCTGGCAGAGCCCTGCTAGTGTTAGGTTTCTTACCAATTTAGGATAGCAGTTCACACACAAATGAGAGAACAGAAATAGTATCTCTGCATGGCCTGTCCTCATCAAAGAAGGAGGAAAGCCAATCCCAGAAGTTGGTCTAACTGGACATAGTAAGTTTTCTTCATCATTGTCCAAACACTCAGTCTTGTCAAAACCCTTCAATCACATGAATACTGTTACTCATTTTTGGCATTACTGTATCTCGGTATAGACTTACAGACTACAGAACCTCCATCCCTCTGCCTGGGACTACAATAACTAATATTAAATATTTTTCAGACTTCATGTCCAGCTTCTGTTAATGCTACAAGGGTTATGTGATTACTCTGAACTATTGCTCAGTGATGGAGAAAAACAATAAATATATCATACCTAAAATTCGAGGGTTCCATAGTAAATGCTATCTAAAAATACTTAACCTAAACCCATAATTTTAAATTTTAAACACATATACTTACTTTAGAAAGCCCTGTTTATGTTTCTTGCTTTCATAATTTCCATAGACTATTTGTAGAAGCAGACTGGCCAGCGTGATCAGCTTGGCATCAGGTGATGTATAGAAACCTTTCAGTAAATTATATCTGGCTTCATCAAAAAGGATAAGAATAGCCAATGGATCCTCAATCTGTTAAAAAGATTTAAATAATATGATTTATTTGTAAAAGCACATGAGCTTATAAACTATATATATAAATACAATTCCTCACTGATCCCGAGACAGAAAACAAAGGACTGAACCTGACTAAAGTATACATTTGAGTAATGCTTTGTAGTAAAAAAAAGATAAAAAAGAAAGACATTTTCATTGACTTAATCCAACACTTCACTGATCTAACACACAAATTAAAGGTGACTGACATACAATGCCCAAACCAAAGGTTCACAGAAATACTGACATCTGTGGGGGTTTTTTCCCCCATGAATTTATTTTGAATAGTAAATTTGAATAATTCTATTGAAATTGACCAATTAAATATCTGAAAAATCCCTTCATAGGAAGGAAAAGAAGATTAGGCAGGTTCGTTTTAGCCATATCACAGATAGAGACTGAGAGATACAGACTTATGATAAAGCAAACAGTTGATAACGTGAAAGAGAGGGCAGGAAGGCAGGAAGAACCTGAAGACTCTGTTACAGAAAATTAGAGGAGAGGTCAGGTTTAAGCAAGTTTGGAAATGTTTAATGACTACAGTCATTAAACACACAGAGCATTGATCATCAGAGTGGTCTGACTCTGACCATGATTTCATGCTATCACTTCCAAGTGCAGACCTTTTTTTCTATTTCCAGTGGAAGTCTCACATCTCGTCTCAGGAAAAGCTGTGAAGTTTCCCTTTGAGGATCCAAGTTTGTCAGTTCGGTGAATATTTCAGGCCAGTCTCGAATATGTTGCAAAGGCTTGTGATATGGCTTCAGTTGAAGGCCTGAAAAATAAGTTGGGTTTTTTTGAAGAAAACAAACAGAATAACCTCACACACACACACATATATACATGATTATTAAATGCTGCACTAAAACCAGAGTATTTGAAACAGAGGTGTCATTAACATTTTACTCTGTATTTTTTAAACTGCTATATATAAAAGGTTTTGAGGATATGGGTTTATTGACGAAACTCTCAGCATCAAGTCACTAAATGCACTAGTGATGAACCTTTGTTATTTTCAGCTTCCTAAGAGTGAAGTGGTATTTAAAAATTTAATGGAATACCAAGATGAACTTAAAACAATAATAAACCACTAGGGACTGTTCTCTCATTTATTGTGGAAGACATACAAAGTCCAATAATCTTATTTTGGGCAGAAAAATACAGATATAGTTTATCTTATAGACATATTTTCTATTTTGGGGTATATATAAACCATAAACTTCTCAGAACAGACTTCTTTAAATCTGTAAAACGTCTTGATTCTTAACAGGCTACAGACATTCAATGTTTCATGTTCTCCTGTATATATAAGAGCTAAGAAATTAATAAAGGGCTCTCAACTACAGTCCTGCTAGATACATACATTCAGTTACACTCATTCGCTTACTCTGCCTGTCCTTGTGATTATTGCTTGGCTGTTTTCTAACAATGAGGAACTAGAAGGTTGTATCTGCCTCATCCTCACTGCTCTGGCTTTTACATTGTGACATTTCAAATTACATGAAAAACTTCAAAGGACACGCTATAGTGCAACATCTTTCCACTGAGAATGATCAGTTCACTCAGTTCATCCACCTTACATTCAAACACAGAAAAACATCTGTCCTACAAAGAAGAAAACTATGGTCTTGACAGTGGTACACAAACTGCAAGAAATACGTTTTATAATGAAACTTGTCCATTTTTTGTTTGAAGCCATAAATCAGAAGCCAACTCATTTTCAAACTTAAGCTAAATACCTAAGGAATTACTTGGGTTTACGCAAATAATGTATCCCCTCAATTGCAAAGGTAATACTTCAATGATTTGAGTAAAACATGACATCCTATTTAGAAAAGGCACAAGCAGCAAGACTTCACACTCAAACACTTCCTTTTCTTCCAGATATTAACATCTATGTTTAACTCGAGGTTACAGCAGTCACGTGACATACAGGGAGAAAAAGATTTAAAAAGCATGAAGATTTCCTGCAATATTTATGGATTAAAACCCCAAAGTAACAATGAACAATGCCACAGTAGGGGAAGTTTGACAACAGTAAATAAAATTCTGAATGCAAGGCTTCTGTGTTAATGGTACTGTCACGGCATTCTACCAGTCCTGAATTGTGCTTTGTAAACACATTATAATGTGTCCCATGCAGTACTGTTTATCACATTTTCTGACAAAACACAGATCACAATTATTGACTCTTCTGTGAGTCGATTTATCTTTTGCTATATATCTCAAGCTACAACTATAATCTGCTTTTTATTTAGAACAGAAATTAAAAAAAAATAATACATCAAATATAGTAATGATGTTTTGCATGAGAATTCCCTCACACCGATTATATCTGAAAACTTGTTTATCAAAAATCATTTGGTGCAAAACACATGAAAATTCATATGATTAAAGGACCTAATGGGAAAAACAAAAAGAAACCAAAAAAAACCAAAAAAACCCCAACCCCAAACTAATAATCAGCTTTACTTTAATCTGCTAGTTTCAAACAGATTAAACATTGGTAAAAACAACTACATGCATCCAATTTCAGATATTCTGGGAAGAAAAATACCACTAAAATAAGGGCAAGTTAGCAGTGAGGAGTATGCCAGCAAAAGTGAAAGGCAATGTGTTTGTGACAGCAAAACAGAAAGGCAATCTGGACCTGCCTCACCTTCCTAGATGAAATACATTCTAGATCCCACAGTGATGTGGGGTCAGACCTATCGGGGGTACCCAAAATGGTGGCTAAAATGGAGCACCTTTCTATAGCTCTGAAAGCACAGTTTGGAGACATCAGGCTGTAAAGGCTGGCAGTTGATCTACTGGAGGAAAGCTTAAGCAGAGGAAATAGAAAAACTGGTTTCACTGACTATGCAAAAGATACAAAGAATGAGACCTACAGGGATTACAGAATCCCTGGCAGGAACAAAGTGTATTAACAGTCTAGATACATACTAACTCCTAAAGGATGGCTTTTAAAAGCAGAAAGAAAGAGGTTAATAGCAAACTGTCACAGAGCATGCTTCCCATTTTCCTTAGAAAATACTATTTTTTCTAAAGGCAAGCAGAAGTAAAAGAAAACTATGATAAACTCTCAAGTGTAACAATCGCCACTGTTACTTACTGAGGTTCTCAGAACAAATCCAGATAGTGAAGTACTGCTGAGTTTCTTGAGACAAACGCATCCCCTCCATTATCTGCTGTACAGTAGTATTGTTTCCATGTTTCAACTCAACAGAGCGATATGACCCATCCATACGATAAATACGTGCCTTTTCATACTACATAAAGATTAAAACATATTAAACAACTTGTTAAAATCCTTTCTGTTGGTGCTTCTGGAGAGAAAAGCAATTTTACCATACTGCTGAGAAAAAGAACACAGCACAACTCCTGCATATTTATTGTTTATCAAAACTGCTTATTTCATGTCCTATGCAAGTTCTTACAATGTGCTTTTTACCACATGTCCAAGAAAGACCTTATTGATATTTTGAGGACTTAATTTCTCTTGAACTTAGAGGCAAGCAGGCATTTCAAGTTTCCTGAGAGATTTGGGCTCAACTGCCTATGCATAGCCTGAAATGTCCACTTCACTATTACTAACAAGTGATGTATTATTCCTTTTCATTAGACTATACTAAAATACTTAATTTTAGAGGGAAGCACCACCCTTTATACAGACCCCGGTACTATAACACTACACTCTCAACTCAGATCTTTTAGCAGTTCTATAATAGAACTCCAACAGCTTTCATTGAATTGCGTGTGGGCTCAGAGCATGCCTCCTGAAAGACATACTTAAACATAAACCATGTGCTTAAAGCACATACACACAAGTCATAGATCTATGAAACTTCTTGTTTTCATCTCTCTAACAGGTTAATGTTTCAGCTGCTTGAATCAAAAAGTTGCAGGAATCTGCTACTTCCCTTCTCCAAATCTACTCATTCGTCAAAAACTGATTCCTAAAAATTTCTGGGGAAAAAAGATTAATGCCTTGGAAAATGACAGCTTATTGAAAATGAGGCTGGAATGGAAAACATCAGTCTATTTTTGCTGCAGTAGTCACTGTGACTTCTATTGAACTAACATTTTTTTTTAATGTATATTTTAATTCAATAGTAATAAGTGACAATATAGTATCACCTATTATGCTGTGAAATCTACTTAAAACATGTGTATTAGTCTTTTAGAGTCATTAGAAACACATCTGCCGTTTGATCAACTACATAAGAAGATCCCTAAAATACAGGATGTCAATTCTTTCATTAACTGTTTTGGAAGACTCATTCACTCAGAGTGAAATTAAGATAATTTAAAACATGTTGAAAACTTGACAGGTTTACTGCCACCTACCTACAGAGACACAAATTACACCTGAAATCAAAGAAAAGAAACAAGTGGTTTTATCTCATTTGGCTAATTTTAAATCTACTTCAGGATGAAAGGAATCTCATTATAAATTTTATTTACTATCATGGCTAGATCTTCACTGACCGCCAAGGAAGCCTACACCGACTAAGTGATGTAAGCTTATTCTGTAGAAGCCCACATTTAGCCAGATGAATGCTCCTGTTTAACAACTTGTTAAGATTGATAACGCATAACGAAAGCTGATGGCTGTATGATCAAAAGTAGACATAAAATCAGTAGCTGATTTGATGCTCCTACGAATAAAATAACATGTTTAAAGTCTTAGATGCATTTCTTGAGCAATAAACATAGATAGAAACATTTAAAGAGACAAAATGACTTACACTAACAATTTCATTATCCTGCAAGTTTCCAATAACATCTATGAGTGAGCCAGGCTCTTCTACAAGTTTAGGCATAAATTAAATACAAACTTTAAACAACTTAAAAAAATAAACTCATACAGGTTTATTTATGGCTTCCTTCAGCAGTTTTGCAGCTTCTTCCCATTCATTTTGTTTGTTCTCTTCACAGACATTCAGTGGAGATCTTCCTTGTTGATCAGTAATGTGCTATAAACATAAACACCAGTATTACATTGTTTTCAGTGGAGACAGGTAAACACGTACACATTTTGTGAGATAATTAAAATCCTTGATCCTAGGGCTCAAACATTTAACTGAATGACAATGGGAAAAGTAGCAGTAATGAAAAATACTTAACCATTTTTTTGTAATCTCTCAACAGTATCATTGTGTTTACACACTGTGATCTGGACAAAATACTTCACATACACAAGCTACAAACCGTTGCTAAAAATGCTATTTCTATACACAAACAGAACTTACTCTGTCAATTTCTGGATGATTTAGTAGAATTTGTACTATTTCAGCATGCCCACCTCCAGCAGCAAAATGAAGAGGAGAACTGAGTTGGCCGTTCAAAAGATTTGGATTGCACTTCCCCTTCTCCAACAGCATTCGAGTGGCTTCAACTTTTCCATACCTGAAGACAGGTTTAAAGCAGAACAGACACAGCAAAGATCTTTTTTCAGATAGTGCTAAAAATAGAAAGTGTATTTCCATGCTCAAAAGTTTTCAGCTTTGAAATGACACCAAAGACAATGGAACATTGGTAAATTTGTAGAAATTAGTATCAGTTTTGCACTTCTTTGGAAACCTTTAGTCTAGTGACCATTCACTGGATTCACTGTAAACAAACTGAACCTTGCTTTGAACTAGCTAAATTTGGGTAGCTGTAGCAATTCAGTCATGGCAAAAGAGAGTTCAGCCTTGCCTGACGAAAATCCCAGAACATAATTTGTGTGAGAATCAGAGTAAAGCTTCTGATTGTCATGCAGCTGGATCCCAAGGACTCTTAAGCCTCACACTGGCAAATGTTGTGTATACTGTCGATGCAAACTTTCTGACAAACATAAAAAGTTGTTGGGGTTTTTTATAACCAAGTTTGATTTTCATGTTATTCGTATCATCAGACTCTACAATAAATGCAAAGATTAACTTGAATAAAGATAAAACAACAGCTTTTTTACAACTGAGGAAAGCTGTCAGCCACTTACAGATCAAATCATCAGACAAGTTGACCGCCTAGTCCAACTTCCCACTCAAAGCTTGACTGTCACCAAAGCGTGCTGTGCTGCAAAACTGCTCACAGCCTTTAACCAACCCAACAAAGACTGTAAAAGTTACCACACTAAACTAGACCACATGTCTGCAACAAGAATTAGAACAGATGCTTCAGGACAGATAAGAAGCAGTAAGTGTTTGACGATACAATCTCCACACGTGGCCTCCTCTGAAACCATTCAGATTGAAATTACCTCAAAACCTGAAGCAATCTTTCTCTTCAGAAGGTTGACACTAACATAAATCAGAGTCTAAGTGTAAAAAATATAGAGGGTTTTGTTTTTGATTTCTCATTGTTGAGTCTGTATGATAAATTACAGAAATGATTACCACTAAAGAATCATGACAGCAAGAATGCATTCGATTGGCAAAACTATATTCATCTGACTCACCAGCATGCATAATGGATAGGTGCCCAGTGGTCACTATCTAACTGATTAACAGAAAATTTTTTATCCAGAAGGTGGCTTAGTAGATCAGAGTCACCTTCACAAGCACTGCGGTGAAGAGGGAAATCATCTACCCACTGGTGTTCCCTACGAATTAAAAGGGGAAACAGGAGGAAATCACAGTTCAGAAATATTTCAATAGTTGAGAACACTGACTTTTTTAAAATTAATAACATAGCACTAACCGTAGATCGACATGAAGAATAAAAATGAAGCTCACACAGCTAAATTGTGCCAGTATTCATACAACTAGTATTTTCATCATGCAGTAGTGAAGCCACAGCTGTATTCATTATGCTAAGAAATGCTTCTCTAACACAATTTAAACCTTTCTTGATCTGTCCTTTAATTGCTGTTTCAGTACTCAAGAGACTTCAAACGAAATATTTTTTAAATATGTATTTATACAGTGAAGTCCTAAAGTAACAGGAATCTCATTCTGGCCAAGTCTACCAAGTACTGTCATAAACAAAACAAAATTATCTCTCAATGAAAAAGGAATGTAACATAATACTTGTCCTCTGTGACACTGCTCATGCTACGTTGCCACTTTTCTCTTTTAGGAATCTGAATCTTTGAATAGTCTGGGGCTCCAAGGCCAAAGTATGGATTTATTACCACTTTGTCAACCTGCAAAGACATAATTTAAACACAACTGAAAAAATCTCTTCCTGAGATTTGGCTAAACAATCCCCCATTCAGACTGGGTATTCTCTTGATACCAAATTTACCACAGTAACATTTTATAATTAAAGAGAATTACGTTCAAATGTAAGGCTTTGAAAACCATTTCGCAGTAAGCATGCAATAAATCTGATTATATTAAACATAAAGCATACATTTTTATCAAGTAAATGAACTGTAAATGAAAATGTATGTTTCATGAATATAAAATGAAAATAGAATTCTTACCCTATTAGTATACTGAAGGTCAGATCCAAACAAAGGATTATAGATACACATATCTGCTTTCTCCAACGCCAGCATTTTACTCTTTATTTCCAGGGCAGTATAACCCATGTGCAATGAGCTCTCTGTTTGACCAGGTTCTATAGCATAGGCAGGGTTTATTACATTTGTTTTGATTCTTTCAAGAGGAGATGGTCTGAATAAAGCTGGGATGGAGTGAGACTGGGTGTGCCGTTCATCCAACCACCTGCAGAAGAGAATGGGCAAGTAATTAATTTTCAGGTAAAAAAGGACCATTTTGGCCATGCCTGTCCATTATTCTGTTTAATTAAGGGCTGCACTTATGATCATCATGCATTTTACCCATAATAATTTTTATCATGTGTGCAGCCAATTCGTTAGGACTACATTAACCCTCAAATGTGGATTTTTTTAACCAAATATCGTTAAGCAAATATATTTGCTCGAACACATTTCCTGCAGAGTCTCAAAGAATATTAAATTATAAGATAAGGTAGAGTATAACATTGGTTATAGTCAAAACACCACACCAACATGTCACTGTTATGCTTACTTTCAGTTTACCAGTATTACTACTCTCAACATAGAAATTTTGAAACATAAAGCAGTTCTTTAAAGGATGAGTTGAAGTTCCAGTATCTGTGCTTTTAATTCACTTGTTTCATTAAGGAGAGATGGGAAAAGGCAAAAAATCAGACGGTCCAATTTCCAAACTGCTAAGTCTCTTTCACACTTGCCTTTTCACAAAGCTGTGTGAAAGTTATCCTCTTTTAAGTACACTCCTACTGACAGTACAGAAGGGCTTTGGAGCCCTCTTTCTCTGAGCTAGCGTGGAAAGTCAGCACTGTACACCTGCTGCATTTTTTCCTGCAATGTATGCAATATAACACAGGGCTCAGGACAAGTTATTCATCTGATCTTTTGGATAATGTATTTTCACCAAATCGCTAAATTATTTTACTTAAAAAGTGCCCAGTTCAACATAACACTAAGGGTCAGCTTTGTATTTAGGTTTCTACACATTCTCACAAGCTTGAGTTAAACATGTACTCTGCTAGAATACAATAAATTCCATTTAGTGATTTAGCCTGGAAATACAGAAGTACATGCCTTGGAAAGATAGATCCAGTGACAGACCACTTGGATCTTGTCTGTCCCAGAACCACGTGTAAGCAAGGCAGAGTGTGGCCTATAGTTCGACATACATGCTTAGGCCTGGATTTTTAAGTCCCAGATGCAAGCTATCATGTGTTGCAAAATCTGTATTCCCTTCACTTACAGTCCTGCTGGGAAGGACTGTAAAATTGTGGTTATTGTGCTATAAACACTCTCTCGTCTCCCAGAAGTATTTTCAGGCATTTTCTCTACACAGCTGGTAAATGAGTTAGTTATGGCAATCTGAATCTTTGGGAAGTGTTGTTTCAGACTACATACATAGAGAATAATCAATATACACTACTTCTATTATATTCCCAGGGCTTCTCTCACAACTGTAAAGCTCGTAACACATTTTAAGCAGAGATTAAGAGTCTGAAGACATTCAGTAAGCAGCAAACAAATATAATTGGCACGATGATATACCTGGAAATAGCATGACTATACTACTAAACTGTAAAAATCCGTCAGTTTTAGGTAGTAGCCTGTAACTTAGAATTTTTCATTAGCCTGGAGTTTCAGCTAACTTTATTAATGCAAATAAGTTCATACATAAGCATGCCTGCTATTTCTTTGTTAAGGGTACCTAAGAAAGACTAAAAGCTGCTTACATATTCAATTTTCAAACTACTATAAGCCTGGCTAAACAACTAATCAGTTTTCTGAAAGCTAATTCCCTACTGCAAATAAATTTGTATGGCTGGGAAAGATACACTCCCTTTCTATAAGGAGGTTTAATTTAAATGCAAATCTTAATGGTATACAATTAACAGGGTATTTTTAATACACTCTGGCAAACTCTCTTAAAGATGACTACTATGCCACTTACAGATGATTAAACATTAGTGTTTTATGTGATTTTTACAAAAGATTCACTGTGAGCAAGAACCTCCATAAAGCCACTTGATTTAGATAAGCACACCATTCTTGAGTTTGCAAAAAAGATTTTCAGAAATTTCAGGTCAAGGTTTCAGCTTCTGCTTAACATGAAGAAAATAACATGGTATCACAATGATGTCCCTCTTAATCACAAGAATGCTATAAAAACTGTGTGCTACATCTACAAATTATCTTGTTTAACTTCTATTTTAATGGATGTTTACTGATGGCATTCCTTACTTATCCAAGGCAATTAACATTTTTGCAGTAAGCGTAGCAAAATGGGTGCTGGATTCGCTGCAGACTCTCATGATGTCTTGTAAACAGTAGAACACAGGGCATCCAGGGCTGTATGCATATTTTGTATTATCTAAAAAGGAAACATTCTTAAGACACATCGAAGAGAAGAAAAAAAATCTTATTTTCCCTTCTGCAACTTTGTAGTTACACATTCCCAGCTAACTGAGAGCATATTCTAACTTAAGACTAACATTTTTTCCCAAATAGTGATTGGTAGAAATTACACACAATCCTTACGTAACAATTCCCAACTCACAGGGTAGCCTTAAAATCATCAAGTGTTCAGTTACTTTTCCATCAGCAAGATCAGCTTCATCTGAGGAATTAATATTACATGTATACTGTTGTCAGGAAAAAAAATAGGACTCAGGACTAGGAGACATATTTATAGCTAGTGGTAGTTACACAATGGTACTTACTTGATAGCTTTTATCCGCAAGGCCTATCAGTAACGCAAAAATGAAGAAGTTTCCCCAAAAGCACACAGGCATTTTCTTGAGGCTTTTTTAAAAAGAATATTTTCCTGACAAGCAATTTACTTTGCTTTCTACAGACTTAATTCACCATTCCTTACTCAAACCTGTTGACAGACTTCAATAAGCATTCTTCTCCAAGAACACTGAACTGCATAGGATGTCTTTCTTATGCTTGCATTCAGTAAATTCTATGCATATGTTTTGAAACATAATCAACTGAACAAACACAGCTTAAAAGAGAAGTGTGTTATCATTACAGAAACAAAGGCAATACAATAGAAACAAAGTTTTTTTCCCTTAAGTAGCTTTTTCAAGTTTTCAAGTATTCAGAGAGAGGTTTCCACCTGAACGCAACTTTCAATGTTTAAATACAGAAAATGTCATATATCATAGTCATAAAAATTCTTAATAAACCTTGAACTGAACTTCTGCTAAAATGGGTGCAACTTCAGAAATTATGCTCAACATTACCTTTCACAACAGTTGGAACAATGTAAAGTGATGCCTCCTGGCCTGCCTTCTCTCCATCAAGAGGAAACTTCTTCATTAACACTACCCGCTTTCCTAGCATGGTATTAAAAAAAACCAAAATCATTAATTAACCAACAAAAGGAAGTGTAGAGTTGGCTCTCTGAAAGCTTACCACACTCAATCTTCCTAATTTGTAAGAAGAAAAAATTATTCTTATAAGATTGTATATTTAGATTATACAATCTAAAAAAACCCTAAGTACACATGAAAAAGTAAACAACATAAATATGTATATACCCATTAACATGAAAAATTACATGACTGCACCCCTCTTCTCATAGCAATTTTTCTATACCCCTGACTTTTTGTAGCTTTCACCCCCCAGACCATCTATCTTGAAGTTAAACAAGGTTCTTTCTGAAATGGGAAAGAACAGGTGCATCTCTATTGCATGTTAGGGTAAATGCTTTTTTTGTATTTATGACAGTATTTTCCATGTTATCCTCCCTTCCACCCTCACAGAATTCAGCATTTTGTTTGCTTTTCTGACCTCAGTTACATTTTTTAGCAGTGGCCACACTAAGCTGTGCATATTAATGCTTCGGGCCTCTGTGTGAGTCAATTTAAAACTCCATAAACTGTGTAAGAAACAGGGTTTGCTTTTACATGGCATTCCTCAATGTGTATTAAGGCTGTTACGTCATTTCATATTTGCTGCTCAACTAGCTTTGTTAGGTCCATCCAGCTCCAGTTACTGCCACCCACAACACTTTACCATGCAGCCAGCCATTCCTTCTCTAAACTGTTAGCACTGCAGTGTCTTGTCCGCACTGACAACCTTCCCAGTATAACCTTGCTTACAAAGCAGAGATGAGGTACACACAAAAAGAACAACAAAAGAAGTGCTTTAGTCAGTACAGTTTATACCAATCTGGAAATGAAATATGCTGGGTAAAACAATTTTTGTCAGCACAAGCATGAGGTTCATTGCCAAACCAGCTACACAACAACAGTGAAAAAGAAGATGTATTAATCAAATTATATCTGTGATACAGTTATGTCAGAAATATTTTCATGTAAATACTGTCTACTGTATAACGCTTGCTTTAGAACAGACTTTAGAGGTGATCAGTTCACTAGTTCAAATTTAGGATGAAATTAAGGAGTAAAAACCACTACAATCTGGTTTACCAAAGTTCAGCTGTAAATCTCAAATTGAGGTGAAGAAATAGTGCAGACAAGCAAAGTTTTACTTTATAAAGACCTTCTAGTAAGCACTTACAGAGTTGGAAGGTAAAGGGAAACAAAGGTTTTAGCTGTATAGTTGAATTTTATTTTTTTCTCATGAACCTCAAAACATACTTTATTTTTTTTAAACTAATTTCATGTTTTTGCATAACCTTTCCACACCCATTTAATTTTTAGAATATTTTTACAGAGCTATCAACAATAAATGAGATTAAAATGTTTTTACCTTTAATACCCTGATTGGCTGGTGAAATTGGTTTGGTGGCTTCTAATACATAATCCAAGATGCTCTGGGTTATCTCAGTGCCTCCCTGCAGTTTAGTTTCCAGCAAAACTTTCTTTCTTTTTTTCTTTTGGCCTTCAATGGGAACTTCAAGCAACAAAATCTTTCAAACAATAATGAAACCAAAGGAGTTTAAGTACAACTGAAACAAGGACAGAGGCTTTTTTGGGGGGGGGGGGGGGGGGGGGGGAGAAACTGTACGGGTGGGGAAGAGAGAGAAATTATTGTACCACTGTAAAAGCAGTAACAAAATTCAGGAAGTACTGAAGGTGGAGGAGCAGGGTGGCAAAGTCAGAATGATCTCCTTAACAATACGGTGAAAGACAAAAATGTACTGAGCAACCCATAGGGCAAAAGGCCCTGAGATGAAATGAAACACAAAGATATTACGAAACTGTAAAGTGTTCAAATATCATAAAGATGGGGCAACAAACAGTAGGTATATGACATACATGCACATTATTTAAGTAATCTTATTGTCAGATTTTATCTTCTGCTACATTACAATCTATTTGCTGTAATTTATTATTTTTAAAAGTTAATAAACTAAAAAATATAGTTTTACTTCATAGGATTTAGCTCGATATTCCCGAGAATTCAGGCTAGCAGTATTTTTAGGACGAATCACAGCAACATATACATCTCCAACGCTTTCTGGGTTTCCCATCTCTCCTTCTTCTTCTATCACTGGAAAGAATGAATAAACAGGAAGGGGCCAGTTGATAAAAATTAAAAGAAAGCTAATCCAACAGCGCACTGAACTTCAGGATGCAGTAATCCTGCCTACTGATTCTTTCCCTTATTCATTTATTTTTGTTTAGCTGGAGAAATACCAATGGTTGCTATAATTCTGCTTCCTTTTAATGAAAGGGGGAAATCCTACATCATACAGACTTAACACAAATAATCCTGCTCTCTAATCCACTTTTTAAATAAAAATAATGGTGCGTTTTTTTCCCACTTTGTAACTATTTTCCCCAATTTGCAAGCCATACATAAGGCAAAAGAAATATAGCACTCTTAATAATATATGAAATTAAAAAAGACCATTGTAAAGTGAGAAGCACTGTAATTTATAAAATGTGCTATAACAAAGTACTGCATTTCTGAGTTCCACAGGGATTTCAACAGAGTATCTGATTTTCCAACCTCTCCCCCAAAGTAGAACACAGACTTGCTCACAGCCCTAGTAACAAAGCTGATAAAAATACGCTATAATATGGATACATTTACTTTGTTTTACTTCAGTTGGACTGCAAACCGGGCACAATTCATTCAAACACAGAGTTTCTGAAAGGAATGTCTTCAGTTTTTGCAAAAAAGGGCAGAGGTTTTAGATTTAAGATACAAGTTTGCTTACTCTTCTGTTTAACCCAAAGTGGCAATTCCTATATTATAAAACTTTATGAAAAAGGGAAAGCCTCCTAAGGCTAAATCACTTCAGCTATCAGATTTGAGAAAGAAGGTCATATCTGGCCATTAACACCTTCCAGGTAATCATTTCCCTCATCTGCAAATGAACCCCTGTTCATTCCACATCATCAAATGAGTACATGCTTTCTGCAGATTAATCCCTCCACAAAGATATTTAACATTACTGTTTCTAGCTTCTTCACCTCTCCTAGGAGAAACCGAGGTCTTCAGATTCCCATGCCCTTAGTCCAGTATTTTTGCTGGGATCAGACTACCTGAAAACGTATTAACAAAACAAACAACCCAACATAAATAACAGCATGCACATTTTCAGTTTCAGTTTAGATAAATGCATTAGTGAGATGACTTAATGATGGTATGTAAACAGTGATATCCGAATAAAAACATCTATTGATTTACATTACAGTAGCATCTAGAAATATAACATTAGGTATGTCCCCAGTTGTGAGAGCTCACACCTTGGCATATTAAAAGTTTTGAAAGGAACAAGAAACAACCGTCCCTTACAGGCAGCTGGCAAAGGCATGCTCCCTGAGTTTCCTTACTAGGATATACTAGGTTTGGGTCACAGGCTTGCGTGGAGGGAAGCTGCACAGGCAGGGCAGTAGGTTATGATGGTACAGGTGAAACTCCCTCTGCCAGTGCTCTGCCCTAAATCCAGAGTGGGGTGAGGATGTCTGGGAAACGCAGCCCTGAGAGCTGGCGATCTGACTCCGGAAAACAAAAACAGAGAGTGAAGAAGGGTGGGGTTGCAAGGATGTGACAATAAAGATGACCAGAGTCAGAAAGCACCAAACACCCAGGTGCCAACAACGCTTCCCCGTCCCAGCGAGTGCAGGTCTGGAGGACATACCTCAGCCGGGAGT